TGCCAAGAGGGCTGTTGAGAGCCAGCCACATTGCCCCTCTTGGCAGCTAGGGATGGGCAATAAATGCTGGCCCAGCTGGTGATACCCACATCTCATGAATGAATAAAAATAAATCATTAAGATGCAAATGAAGTGCCACCATTAAAGGCTACAGGACTTCCTGGAGTCACATGTTGGCCAGACCAGGTAAGGATGGCAGTTTCCTTCCCTAAAGGACATTAATGAGCCAGATGGGTGTTTCCAAAAATCATCAATGGGTGGTTCACGGTCATCATTAGACTCTTAATTCACGATTTTCATAGAATTCAAATTCCACCATTTGCAATGGCAGGATTCTAACTCAGTCCCCAGAACATTACCTGGGTCTCTGGATTAAGGGTCCAGTGATAGTACCATAGGCCGTCACCTCAAGAGGCTATCTAAATGGACAGTCTGACAAGACAACTGGGAGAGAGAAGGCCTGTCGATCCAGATAGAGAGCAATCTATGCTCTGTGGAGCTGGCATGAAACTGAAAGCTTCGCTGAGAGACATGCTGGAATAATGCTGGCCTGTAACAAGTCAAAAAGCCACTTGTCTTCGGAGCCAGCAACGCCCACCTCCATTCTACTGGGAAGGTTTCCAATCCCTCGCTCATCCCTGTCAGTTCCAAATTGGGCTCATCATTGCATTGCAGGAACCCAACTTAAATAGGTTAGCAAGTGTGCAGATTTCAGATTTTAATGCTACAGTGGGGCCTCAAATATGTGAAAATCAATGAAGAATTTTAAATTAGATTAATCCAGCACATAAACTGAATGTAGAATTAACTGATAAACTGATGTACAGGTCACACTCGTGACCACCATACAAATTATGACTAGGACATTCTACCTACCCTTAGTTGTCCTGAGTGGCTTGCTAAGCTTTGTGTGGGCCACCAAAATGAACTTCAGAAAACTTTTCTTGTTGTATCTTCACATACTTTCGTGCCTTTTGGTTAAAAATAGTTAATGATGGTCTGGCATCATTCACAGGCCAAGCTGGATAACGATGGCAGGTTTTCTTCCCTTAGCACCAAGCTGGTTACTTTCTTCAAACTGCTTTGGAAGAAGTTGGACACAAATCCCCATGTTTTTAGTCCATGCATTTAGATGACCGTCACCAATGAAATAACCACTGTATTATCATACCCCCTAAAATTGAACTGAATGAGCTACTTTAAAACTTGTTATATATACAAGAGCAAAACCTTCTGATATTAGAAATCTGAAGCAGATAATTTTGAAAACACTAACTGGTCAGTTAGATATCTGTGTAGAGTGCAAATGAATTTGTATTTCAGGTATATAACTTTTATCAAAACTCCATGTAATGTTTCTCTTCTGTCATTGATTCTTACAGCTTATATGGTACACCATTGAACATAGATCTGTTTCCTGCATTACTGGTGGAGGACTTGATACCTGGAACGAGATTAGGACCAACACTTTTGTGCTTGTTGGTTACACAATTTAAACGTCTGAGAGATGGCGATAGGTAAGCAGCAACCAGTGTAATGTAGGTTTGTTTTGTTTATTTCAGCCATACCTTCAGTTTCATGCTTATGATCTCCGTGATATATAACTGCATCTAGAAGACCACTGTCCCTGAGTAGCTTCATTTCCAAACTCTGTTGTTTGTATTCCTAATAAGTCACTGGGTTATGAAAGCCTGGTAGAATACTAGTAACTCAGCGCAAAGGATGCCAGCTTTGACTGCTGTTGAAGGACTGTAAGTCAGACACAGTGCTCTGAAGTTGAAAGGGGAGAAAATGGCTTAGGTTCCCACTCCAGATCTGTATCCAGTGCCCTGTGCTGTGCTGAGGACATGTGTAAGACAGACTTGTCCTTGTGTCAAGCCTTAGTCTCACGCTAAGATCTGCTATCTGCCATCTAAGATGAAGATCCATGACCCCATGACCTTCTCACTCGAGTTGAAAATCCTTTCAATTGAGCCAAGCTGATGCATTTGGAGATAGCCTTATCTTATTTCTCTGAAATTCCTCAATGTGCTTCACAGCTACCAAATCACTTTCAGTTCCAATCCCTCTTACGTAGGCAAGTACATTCAATATTTTACACACACCAAGGTCCCAGAAATGAGACGAATGATTTGGCTTGTGATGCGAAAGGAATTTTGGGTGGGCCATAGAACTGTAATCCTTTGAAAAGTGCTATGAGATTTTTCCATGTTACTTGACCCAGTGTCAAAATGAAACGAGGCCCTAATTTAACACCTCGTCTGAAAATTGCACTTCTTAGCCATCGTATTCCCTGAGTACCATGCTACAGGGTGCATTTGATGCCAAAGATCCAAAGTGTGGCATGATCCCGTGACCTTCTCATTCAAGGTGAAAATCCTCACAGTTGAGCCACGATGATGTATGTGGATCTGCATTTTTACTTTGGGGGAGAACATGATCACAATTAGTTGTGATGCTATGTAACCTCCTAACACTCCATGTCTGAGCAGAGAGAGCATGAACTCTTGGACAGGTACTGAAGAGATGCCAGAATCTGTGGAACTGCGCATTGAAACAATAACTTTCAGAAGATGGCCAGTGGAAAAAATTGATAACTGGAAGATTGCAAGTTAGCTGCACAGTTGCCCCCCCCCAATTATGTGCATGTTCTAAAGTGCGCTTAGATTTCAGTGCAGTTTGTAAATAGTGTGGGGCAGACGGGACAGTGGAGCTGAGATTGCAACTAGATCACCAAGATCTTACTGAATCGTGGAGCAGGTCCGAGTGGCCTGATCCAGCACGTATTTTCTTAAGTTACTCTCCTGGCCCTCCCATCTACCGCTCACCTCTCCGACCTGAACCTTCTTGTTTCTTGGTCCCAACCCCGTCTCGCTCCAGACCCTTCCTTCTCCACTTCTCCCTTCCCTCTCCTTACTCTCCCTGTCTCACTTGCCTCTCCTGACTGTCCCTCTCACTCGCTTCCCTCTCCCGACCCTCCTGCCCTCCCTCCTCCTTCCATTTCCTTCTCGCAATCCTCTCGCTTGTTGCTTTATTCCAGGTCCTAAAAATAAGTGGCTGCTGAGTTAGTAGATGCATTAATTTTAAATTTCCAGAATTGCTTAGATTCCATAAAGGTTGCGTCAATTTGCAAGATAACAAATACAGCTCTTCTATTCAATAAAGGAGGGAGATAGAAAGCCAAAACCTGCAGGGCAGTTCGCCTGAATTCTATCACAAAGAAAATTGTAGAAAATGCTATTGAGGAGGTTAAAGCAGGATGCTTAGAAAATCTGAATGCAGTCTGCCAAATTGTATTGCGGTTTGGTGCAAGGGAAATTGCGTTTGACAGTTTATTAGTGTTCCACAAAGAAGTAGCAAGCAGCATGGATAAAGAGGAACTTTAGATTTGGTGTATTTAAATTTCCAAAAGACTTTTTGGCAAGCTGCCATATCAAAAGACTATTGCATAATATGAGGGCTCGTAATGTATGAGCAACATATTATCATGGGTAAAAGGATTGGTTAACCAACAGGAAGCAGAGATGTAGGGATAAATAGTTCATTTCGGGTTGGCACACTATAACCACCAGAGCACTACAGGGATCAGAGCTGTGGCCTCAACTATTTACAATGGATATTGATGACTTGTATGAAAGGATCACATATATAGTTGTTAGATTTGCTGACAACACAAAGATAGGTGGAAGAATAACTTGTGAAGAGGACCTGAGGGGTGGAATTTTGTTGAGGCATGGATCTCCCATCAGCTGGTTGGTGAAAGACCAGTGCTGCTGCTTCTAGGGAAGACCTGATGAGTCACCTGTCAATCAGTCATTGATGAGGCCACCAGCTGGCCTCCGGGGTCAGAGGTCCTCCTCAGGGAGAGCTTTGGGAGGCTGAGAAACCTGGTGTTGAGCAGTGACTGCTGGCAGAAGAGCAAACAAGAGTCCCAGAATTGCATAGGACCCAGGACAAAATTAACAGATGTCATCTGAGGGTCTCAGTTGGTGACAGCGCAGCAAGCTTCACCATGTACTTTATGCCCAGAACCTAATCCTGACAAATGTGGAATGGCAGTGGGGCTTTGATACACCACCACTCTGTCTGATTAGCTCCTGTCCCCACATCTAAGATGGCCTCTTCTGTGAGCAGACGATTCCACCCAAGAGGTCTGCAAGGGGATACAGATAGGTTAAATGACTGGGCAAAAATATAATTGGTGGAATATAATGTGGGAAAATGTGAACTTGTCCACTTGACAGGAAAAGTAGAAAAGTGGCATATCATTTAAATAGAGAAAGATTACATTACTCTGTGGTCAAAGAGATCTGGGTGTTCTGGTACATAACACATATAAGGTATGAGTATGAAGGTACAAAGATGAGGAAGGCAAGTGGGATGTTCTTTGTTTATTGCAAGGGAATGGAATATAAAAGTAGGGATGTTTTGTTGCAGTTGTATATACTGTTGCTGAGACTGCATCTGGTCTTGCCTCGCTAGACTACTGCAGCAGGCCCAAGACAGTGAAATAGCCAGGGAACATGACGGTGTGTTAAAGTGGCACGCCGCTGGAAGCTTTGGAGTCACCTTTACAGAGAAAACATTGGTATTCAGTAAAGCGGCCAGCCTGTCTGTGTTTTATTTCCCCAATGGAGAGGAGACTTCATTGTGAGCAGGAAACACAATAGACTAGAGTGAGTGAAATGCAGGAAAATCACTGGGAGGTGTGTCTGGGGCCTTGGATAGTGAGGAGGTAATGGACAATAGTTGCATCTTTTGCAATTGCAGGGGAAGGTGTCTTGGGAGAGCGCTGTGGGGAGGTGTTGGGAGTGCAGGAGAAGTGGACCAAGATGTCCCTGAAGGAACAGTCCCTGCAGACTGCTGATGGGGGAGGGGAGGGGAATATATGTCTGGTAGTGGCATCCCGCTGGAGGTGGGGGAAATGGCAGCTTATGATCCTTTGGATGTGGATGCTGATGGGAAGGTAAATGAGGACAAGGGGGATGCTATCTAGGTTGTGGGAGGGAAGAGAAGGACTGAGGGCAGAAGTGTGAGAAATAAGTCAGGCATGGCTGAGGGCCCTATCAGCCGTGGTTCTGGGGAATCCTCAGTTAAGGAGAAAGGTGGACATTTCAGAGGGCACATTTCCCCTCCCATCCACCACCACCACCAGCATGGAAGGTAGCATCATTGGAACAGGTGAGACATAGATGGAGAAACTGGAAGAATGGAATCGAGTACCTACAACTAGGGCACATAGTTTCAAAATAAGGAGTTTTAAGTTGCAGGAGAGGAGAATTTTGTCTGTTAAAGGATTGTTAGTCTGCAGAGTGCCTTTCTCAGAATACAATGGAGGCAGATTCTTTGAATATTTTTAAGGCAGGGTTAGATTCTTGATTGGAACAAAAACAAAGTTGCTGGAGAAGCAGTGAGCCAGAGGAAACTGGTGATTGAAACGTCACGCAATAGGGTCAAAACGTGAATTGAGAAGTGAGGGTCATGGTGGGAGAGCAGCCTGTGGGACAGGCAGAAAGGGACAAGCAGGCAGTAAGGAGAACAAGTTCTTAAATTAGTCAGAGTTAGTGAGTTTCTGCCAGTGAGGTTCAAGGCAAAAGTCGGTATTTCATGTAAAAATTACAGATCCAGGTTGTAAGCCACTCCTAATACATGTTTCCTTCTGGGCAAGTAGTTTTTCCATGAGCAAGATTTTTTTCTTTGTTCTTTCATTTACAAGATGAGGGCACCAAGTTCTCATTTAACATGCAATATTATTGGAGTACGTTAGAAGTGCTATGTGAGGACAGTTTTCTTTTTAGTGTCTTCCAATGCTGTCTCACTTATGTAATTTTCATTTCCAATTAATAATTCAGTATTTCCATTCAACACAAGCATCGTTTGATTGTTTAACCACTAAGGGAGAAGAAACAGATTGCGGGTATCGCAGTCACCTTCGGGTAACTGCCGAGATGAAAACACTTCACCTTCCTCATGCAACGTTTTGCGTAAGGTTGTGTTTTGGAGTTTTTTTATACACAATGTGTTTTGGAGCTTGGTGAAATTAATCTCGTTCAGCATAATGAAGATGATGGGTTTCAAATACTTCCACTTTGTCCCAGAGTCACTGTTGGTGGATGTCCAGTCCTCTGAAAATTTTGAGCTGTCATCTCATTGTTTTGAGATTTTAATGCTCTCCATTAAACTGTTCTGTGTCCACCTCCACCGGTAATTCAGAATTCCATGACATGTATTTACACATGCACAAGTCCCAGATATAATTGACCCACTCTTTCCAAGTCTTGGTGGTGAACTTTTCTGCAGTAAATTGATCTTTAAATTCTTATCCTTTCTTCCAAATCTCTCCATGGCCCCAATCCACCTTGACTAGGCAATCTATTGAAGTTATAATTCGTTCTTTCTGTTGCCTACCATTCTTCAGCTTGCAGCTTATTGCTTGGTCTCTGTCACTCTGCTATACCTTCCTTAACCACCCTCTAAGGCAAGCCTTTCTAATCCTTTCCCTGTGTTGCTTTCAAAAGTCTCCCACAAAGTCTTATATTTATTCCGGCTTTAATCCCCTCGCACAACTTCATTTCCCTTTCTACTGCTTAAAGATTACTTTCTGTATTAGCGCTGTGCAATGTGTTTGGAGATGTTTTCTTTATGTAGGAGAGCTGTAACAATATAAATCATGACTGAACCTATATATGTGTGCAAGTAAGTTGTTCAATTATTTTACAATAATTTGGTAAACTAGTATACGTGAGCATTGCAATTAAATTTATTTAAAATAATACTTCTGAATTGTTGACATTTGTTTCATTTTTGTCAGATGTCTTGTCAAAGAGGCATTGATTAAATATAAATTATACTTTTTTGATATTTTGCCCATTTAAGTAGTGACACTAAATCAAAAGAAACAAATCTTGGAAAGACCAAGGAATGTAAAATTAAGATTAAGAGACACTCGACGCGTCATTAATGAAACAATTAACTGAAGTAGTTTTGAAGGATAATGATGGATTTAAAATGATTATTTTTCCTGTGTGCAAACAGGTTCTGGTATGAGAGTCCTTGGGTGTTCACTCCAGCCCAGCTGACTCAAATCAAGCAGACTTCTTTTGCCCGTGTCCTTTGTGACAATGGAGATAACATCACCAGGATACAGCCTGATGTGTTCAGAGTGGCAGAATACCCTCATGGTTATCAGAGCTGTGATGATATACCAAAAATGGATTTAAGGATGTGGCAAGATTGTTGTGAAGGTTTGTAATTATTTAATGGATGATGTGTGAGTGTTGGATGGACGTTTGAACATTATAAAGCCATTTGGTGCTTCATCAATTGTTGATAAGGAATATGATGCAGAATTCCTGGTCATCATGAGAATTCCCACTGGTAAATACAAATAATTCTTTGCATCTGTTATAAAAGTTCTGGCTATTTAGCCGGAGTCATCATTTGAGGCAACGCTGCACAGACTGGGGCTAATTTTAATGGGCTGTTGGGAAAGTTCTATATACTTGACAATTTGTTCTGACCTCCATGCTTCCCAGGACAACCAGTTCAGTGGTAAGGGACTTTTAAAATTGAATGCCAGGAAAAGAGTTTATGTTATACAATCAGATGTAACTTCGAGTTTTTTACATGTTTCTATTTTTCATTTTGTGGGAGAGTGCTAGTTTTCTCTATAACACCTTGCCATATATATTTGGTTATTGTATTATAATGTTGCTGTGGGGGGTTTGGGTTGAGGGGGCATCAGTTAGCTCTAGTGAGTATGGTGCAGTTTTTTGTCCATGTTGTGGCTGTGTTAGTTTGCCTCCTCACCTAATTTCACACTTGAGGGCTCAAGCTATACATAACCAATTGCCTCTGTCTAATGGAGAGGAAAATGCCTATGGTTCTTTGTGGATTATGCCTTCTTACTATGGTGTGGGATTCATTTTAAATGAGGTAAATGGAGGGGGTCATGTGACCTGCAGTGCACCTGATGGGTAATATTGGGTATTTAGATAGCAGTCACCTTGGAGTCCTTCCTGCCTCCTCCTCAAATAACCCATAACTTAGTCAGAATGCCTTGGCGTGTATCTACGCATTCACGCAGTCCCATATGCAAGCACCCCCACTCTTTTCAAATTCTAGTGGTGTACTTTTTTTCCAGTGAATTCATATTTAAAGTGTGACTTTGCTGACCTCATTCTTGTCGTTCTTTCTTTGCATTACCCTTAATTCCCTGACAGAGGGTTTAATACTTTTTCACTGTAATCAAACAGAACCTCAGCTTGTTCTACTGAGAACATAGTTCATGATATTTTGCACTTGGAGACAGAGGTAGCAATCTCTGATTTTGCAACAAATAGACTGGGTCTCCCAAAGTCCTAAAAAGGTGTCATAGTTAACAGGTTGGAAACAGTTGTACGATAAATTATTCACTTGTATCTAGCCTGAAAAGGAGTTGGAACAAGGAAAACCTATTAACGTTTTTATCTGTATGTAAGGTTAATTTGTCACATGTTACCACAGGAAGAGGACAAAGCAAGATACTCTTGAGATCAGATTACAGATTTCCCTCCAAAATATGAATAGCTTAGATAGACATGTTGTACTTCTGTGTGTTTCTGGGACACAGATGCTGGTTGGCTTTGTGAGTGACCACACCTAGACGTAGAATGAAGATGGTCAGAAATTACACAACGCATGTTATAGACCAACAGGTTTATTTGAAAACACAAGCTTTCGGCTCTGAAAGCTTGTGTTTTCAAATTAACCCGTTGGACTATAACCTGGTGTCATGTGATTTCTGACCTTATCCACCCCGGTCCAACACTGGTACCTCCACATCATAGAATGAAGATGGTCTCTAGTAAAGGGGACACATCCCACAGTCATCTTAAGAATCCTGAGAGGCTTGCCCTGATGAGAGAAGGAGAACAGCTGCAACAGGATTTACTCCTGCTAGTGGATTGAGAAATTCTCCAAAAACTGAAGAAAGCACCTGAAGGTAGTCTCTCAAAGTTACCATACAGAGCGAAGAGAATACTGAAACCTACTCGGAGCAAGTTTGGACTGTTTGCTGTAAGGATCATAATTCTTTGGAGACTGTGACGCATGATAAGTCTAGAAGGGAAGCATTCCTCTGTGTAGTTTGAAGTATAATTTGCCTGCAAACAGAAAATGGTCAGTCGTGCTTTTAGATTTAAAACGTCAAATCTTGTGTCACTCTTCAGCTATCAACTGGAAGTCGGAATCTCCTTTTGAATAATATGGGTCTCTGCAGGGATTGTAACTAAATAACAAAGATTTCAGCAATGGTGCAAGTGAAATGAAAGTGGAAACAGGTCACGTTTCAGTTCAAACAAGTGGTCTTGGTGATACAATATATGGTACAAAGCTTGGTTCTGAAATAAAAACTTTAGATTATCCATTATTTGACTCAACTTGAGCAAGCCACTGACTAATTTGGTCCTGATAATGTGTGTATGCAGTTTCTGATGGAATCAGAAAATATTTCGTATTTTTTTCTTGCTTATTGCTCATTTTAGTGGCCAAGTATTGGATAGGAAATGGTTTGAAGGGGAAAGTTTTGAGTCTAGAGAAGATATTCCTAGTATTAGTGCAGGGGGAAATAGAGGTGAAGTTACAGACTCAAGAGACCAGTGCTGAGTGTGGATACATTGTTTGGAGATGATATTGGTCTGGATACATAGAGATCTACTTTTCACAAGAACTTCAAATTAAACAACTGTAACTCACAATTGAGCAACATCAACTTACCTTTAAATACTGCTTTGAATGAATTTTAGAAAATCTTTCCAAGGCACCCCAAAGCTGTACGTAGCAAAAAAATCAAACACTTGAACCAAAGGAATAACAACACCTCATACTAATGAGGCACCATTAACATAGTAAATAGAAAACAGGACATGCACAGAGAACTGAGAAGGGTTTAATACTGAAGGAGGTTACAGACATATGGAAGGATGAAACCACAGAGGGATTTCAAAACAAAAATTTTAAATTGAGGCATTGCTCACCATGTGCCAGGAGAGAGTTAATGAGTGAACCAGACTTTTGCGTTGGGAAATGGAATTTTAGATGAGCTATAAAGAGGAAATATTAAAGGCAAATTTTCTATCTCTGATTTTTGACATTTCCTTGTCCCCTCCTCCTTCCACTTCATGTTCTGAGTACAGAAAATCCTGATTTCTTTGTTCCATCTGGGTTCAGCATTATTTGACACACATCCTTTCTATTTCTGGCCAACTGAAAACTTTTCCAACTGCAAAGTGGTTTAACTATTTACCAAATCCAAGCACGTTCTTGTCTGTGATTTAGTTAAAAGTAGTGCGACTGTGATTGCAGCTGCATTTTTTAAAATGAAATATTCAGTGTACAAAGTGTTAAATAACCATAATGTGCTACTCTGGGTAGGTGGTGGTAGAGTGGTAATGTTACTGGAGTAGCCAGCTACAGGCCCGGAATAGTGTTCTGGAGATAGTTGCATCAATTGATTTACCATGGCAGCTAGTGGAATTTAAATTGGCTAATAAAACTGGAATCTAAAGATGAAACTATTGTCGATTTTTTTTTGACAATCTGGATTACTTTTGTCCCTTAGGGAATGAAAGCTGCCATGTTTACCAAGTCTGGACTACATGTGACTCCAGGCATGTGATTGTCTCTTAACTGTCCTCTGAAATGACCTAAAAAGTCATTCAATTTACAGGAAAATAAGGATGAGTAACAAATGCTGGCTTTGTCAGTGTAGCCCACATTCCACGAAAGAATTAATAAAAAGATAAATGGTAGGTTGTAATGTTCAGTTTCAGAACAATTTTCAGAACTACTTGTCTATCAAAGATTAGCTTTTATATGTTAGTTTGTTAATGCATCTGTGGGATGAACCACAATATTATCAGAAGGGTCTTACTATAGCTTCAGGGACAAACAAAGCCTGTTCTTTTCTAAGCTACCTTTGCTACTAATCTGATTTTCAATGGAATCATTTGATTGAACATTTCCTGTTTTTGGGTAAAGTTGTGACATTTTCCTGACAGGCAGTTGTATAACTGTTCATTCTTAGTGCAATTTGTCATCTTGTAATAATCTAGTCAGATTTCTAATAGTGAACCGAAAAAAAAAATGGAGGTGAGATAGCGCTATGTTCTTTTGTATGAAGTTGCTGGCGAAATGGAATGATTTCCATTCATTCAGCCTTGGCTGGACCTTGTCTAGACGAACACACTGTAGAGAATATAGCTGTTACTTCTGTTTATATTTGCTACTTCAGAGAGAGCCAATGTTCTTGTCTGAAGTTGCACATGTCTTTAATTAAAGGCACAGCCAAAAGCGATATAGTTTCTTTGAATCTTGCACAAATTTCAATTACTACTGGAATTCTTGTTTATATCTCAGTATTAATAATGTCATCGAGTTATACAGCATGGAAAGAGAGCCCTTGGTCCAACCTGTCTGCGCCGATCAGATATCCTAAACGGATCTAGTCCTATTTGCCTGCATTTGACCCATATCCTCTAAACCCTTCCTATACATGCACTCATCCAGATATCTTTGAAATGTTGTCATTGTGTCCGCCTCCACCACCTCTTCTGGCAGCTTGTTCCATACACCTACCACCCTCTGTGTAAAAAAGTTGCACCTTAGGTCCCTTTTAAATCTTTGCTCTCTCACCTTAAACTTATGCCCTCTAGTTTTGGACTCCCCTACGCTAGGAAAATAGGCTATTCACCCTATCCATGCCCCTCATGATTTTATAAACCTCTATAAGATCATCATTCCCCACCCCCCTCCCCCACCCCCCACCAGCCTCTGACATTCCAGGGAAAATAGCTCCAGCCTATTTAGCCTCTCCCGAGAGATCAAACCCTCCAATCTTGGCAACATCCTTGTAAATCTTTTCTGAACCCTTTCAAGTTTAACAACATTTTTCCTACAGCAGGGATATCAGAATTGAGCACAGAGTTCTAAAAGATGCCTAACCAATGTCCTGTAAAACCACAACATGACGTCCCATTTCCTATACTCAATGCACTGACCAATGAAGACAAGTGTGCCAAACGCTGCCTTCACTACCTTGTTTACCTGCGACTCCACTTTCAAGGAATTATGCACCTGCACCCCTCAATCTCTCTATTCGGCAACACTCACCAAGACCCTACCATTAAGTGTATAAGTCCTGCCCTGGTTTGCCTTACCAAATGAAACATCTCACATTTACCTCAATTAAACTCCATCTGATCAA